AGTGGGCAGCGGCCGCTCCGGGCCGGATGGAAGCGCCGCACGACGCCAACGCCGCTGTGCCCAGCCGGCCAAGGAAACGTCACCACTCGCTGTTGCCCCCCGCAGGTCACCACTTCCGCTTCCGGGCCGCTGCCCCCTACCCCGCTTAAGCTAGACTCGCCTCGCACCAGCTGCGCTGACGTCACACGAAAAGACGCGCGTTCCCGCAGTCCACCTTAAGGATGCCCGAGCTCCGCCCCCAGACAGGGGACAGGGCAGAGGCTCCTAGTGAGCATGCGGGTTGAGATGAAGCGAACCCCCCCCGCCCCTGAAGAGAGCAAGGATTATGCGCATGCGGCTTTTGCACCCGGGTAACCAGAGGGCGGAAACTCTTTTTCACGCATGCGCAGAGGCAGATGGGGCGTGGTCAAGATGAGCTACTCCCGAGAGACTGCGAGCACTGCGGTTCTTTTTCAAAACAAAGACTGGGCTTCTCAACGCATGCGCACTGAGGGTTGGCTGGGCTGCTGCTGAGGCGGCGCGGCTTTTCCCACACGCGTGCGCACTGAGGCGCAGGTGCCTTCTGGGATTTCAGCCAGGAAGTGGGAGGAAACGTACATGCGCCCTCAGAAGCACTGCACGCGCGGGGTGGGTGGATGTGCAGGGGGCTTTCTCGGGCATGCGCCGTGCTTGGGCCGGCGGGGGATGGAGCTGGCGGAGGCGCAGGGCGCGGTGTTGGCGGTGCTTCGGGCCACGCGCGCGGCGGACCTGCCCCGCCTGCTGCACTGGATGCGGACGAGCAGTAAGCGTCGGCAGCCGCCGCGCGGGGCACGGGCCGGGCGCTTCCCCGCTGCCCTGGGACCGCGCTGAGCCTGTGTTACCGTTAGATGCTGTGCGAGGCCGGGTACGGCAAGGGTTAATGCCGTAATCGCTGGCAGCGCCCGGACTTGGCACGACAGGGGCGTGGCTAGGAGCTGGGACCGGCGTGGGGGCTGGGAGCGGTGCATCCTGGGATGCTGGGGGGCCGCAGATGCCTCGTTTTAACGTCCATCGAGCAGTGAAGTTGCCCAGAGGTGGCCCAGAGATCACCTTCCCCTGAAGTGGTGCAGCTTTGCAAGGCGTGGAAGGTCCATTACAGAGCTTTAACATGGGGGCGCTCGCATGGCCTTTGTGGGGCCAAGCGTGGTGTCTAACTTTGCCCTTACCAACGTTGCTTTTCCGGCCTGAGGCCTTTCTAAGTGGCTGTCCGTAGCTTTTTGTTGATTTCCTGATATGTGTGAATGAGACTGACAGCATCACCCTGCTGCAGCCAAGTTTACCACCCTTCAGCTGTCCTGAGCACGTGAATCCTTGCGCCTGCTGTTAGGTTTGACATTAAAACCTTAAAAACGTGAATGAATCTGGGTAATGCACTGAAGCCACGGGCACATCACGCTGGGGTGAATGCAGCGACCAAAATACTTTTAGATCTGTGGGTACATCTGTCCCAACCGTGCAGTTGGTCCAATAAAAGATACCACCCACAAAAATCTGCCTCTGGATCTGCATCTATAGTTTCCTGTTATCAGTGGGCACATCTACACATGAGACTACCTCACTGTAGCAAAGCGCTGCAGTGATGTAGCATCCATGCGCATCTGCATGTGACTAGCATCTACTTCACCATAGTGACGTGCTACCCTGGTACAGCAGACCACTACAGTGAAGTAGCTGCTAAAAATAACTGCGCCATGCATACGGGCTGTTACTGCACCAAGATTTAGTACCAAAAGGAAGTACTAAATCACGTCGTCATAGTGACACGTGTAGTATGTCTGCTTAATCATTGGCCCCAACTTAATAGTGCTTTACTCAACATTAACTAGTAACAGGACTAGGGATGCACTGATATATTGGTTGTCTGTCAGATTGCAACTGATAGAAGGTGAAATGACATTATTGGCTATTGCCTTTTTTTGGTCATTTTAGCTGATAATTACGGCTGTGTGCCCAGAGTATCCTGGCAAGCGCAGCAGACTGCAGGACCCAGCAAGCAGCGGGAGGGGGAGGAGGCACTGGGGAATGGTCACAGGTCATTGTGCTCAGCAACAAAGGGGTCGTTACTGACTCCTGCTGCTACTGCCATGGCAATGCTGTACATGCAGCAGAGGTGTGAGTGCTGGGGCTGCTGTGGAGACATTGGGCCGCGTGAGGGTGGGGTAAAGTGCCACGTGAGGGACATCCCGCTATGCTGGGCACCGGGCACCTTTGCAAAAGTGGCTTCTCCCCTGCAGCTGTGGAAGCTCGGCTGCACAGGGCCTGCTAGCACCGAGGCAGTGGCATGCTCTGGGGATCCAAAAGCACTTAGTGCTGCTCTCCACGCAAGGGTCTGCTCTGCCTGGCAGGGATGGCTGTTGGTAGGAGCTGTGGGCAAGAGGGAAACTTGCATGTGAATAAGGTGGTCATTGCCTTCCTCATGGAGAGCTGGAGCAGGCAGGATGTGTGTGTGTGTATTATAAAAACAAAACAAAAGGTTTATGTCAGTAGTTTAAATTGCCTTGCACAATTACTAAATATCAGTTATCAGATTGGCCAATATGGTTGGTTGGTTGGTTAATCATCAGCTCTCAGTACTAGCCAAGAACTTCTTTACTCATGCACTCCTAAACAGGACCACCTGGATCTTAAACTCATGCCATATAGGCAAATTTCTAAGTAGCTTTTGTTCTAAGACTCTTCATACCAATGGTCTAACATCTGTCAGTAGGTCCAAAAATAGCTCAAATTATAGCTATATATGGCTTTGGGAAGAAGGGTTGCTGGAAAACTGCTAGGAGACAGAAGTGATCTCTGCCTAGTCATCTTGCTCCCCCTGCTGGCTATACTGTACAACAAAAAGATTTAGCTGTTAGTCTGAAATCAAGTAGAAAGCGGGGTAGATTTGTACTTTCCAGACTAGCCAAAGTACGTGTGTGTGTGTGTGTGTGTGTGTGTGTGTGTGTGTGTGTGTGTGTGAGAAATATATAGCACAAGCTTGCATGAGATGAAGCTCACTTCATTAGATACTGGGGGAGCAGTGCTGGGATAGGCAACCAAACTTTAAACCCATAACAACACAGGAATCGTAAAAAGTAATCCAGGTAATGGGATAAGAATCCATAGTCCCCATTTAAACCACAATTAATCCAGTCTGTGGTTGACTACTTGCTTTGCAGTTTCCTGTTCAAGTTGGTTTTTACAAGTTTGCTGTGTGAGAACAACCACCCTCAAGTCAGTGATGGAAGTCCAGCGAGGTTAAAGTGTCCTGCTACAGGCCTGTGTGTCTGCAAATGATGTCATATCCATTCATTCTGTCATGTAGGGATCACCCAGTCTGTCCAATGTAGATGGTGGAGGGGCACTGTAAGCACATGATGGTGTATATGACATTGGTAGAATTGCAAGTAAATGAACCTTGGATGCTGTAATCCATGTAATGTGGTCCAATGATGAAGCGGTCTGTATTGATGTTGGGACACAGAAGACACTTGGGTCCGTTTCAAAGCCTGGTGCCATAGTGAGGCTGTGAGTTAGGTAGCCTGTTGCTTGAGAGATGCTGTTTGAGGTTGGGGGACAGCCTGTAACTCAGGATCAGTTTGTCCCCCATGACTACTTAGAGATGCTTATCCTTTCCCAGGAGGGATTGAAGGTCATTAATGGTATGTCTAAGGTGATGAGGCTGGGAACTGTAGATGAGAACCAGAGGGACTCTGGCTTGTTAACAAATAAAAACATTGGCCCTAGAACAGAATCTGGAAGCACCTGGCTGTTTAACCTTTTTCACTGATAAAAATTGAGCACATTTTTAGTTTCCTGTATTTTGTCCAGTGCCTGATTCGTGACAGTATTTTGCCTTTACCCCTTAGATTTCAACTATAAGATGAGGGTGTACAGTCTGGAGATACCTGAGGAAGAGTGTGACCTGGTATATTGGTTGATCATAAGATGACTATGAGCTGCCCCAGTCATGCAGCTGTGAAAAAGGTGGATCAGTCATGATGCATGCAGTAGACCCAAGAAGGTGCTAATACTATTGCAGAAGACATTAATAAGCATTTATTAAGAATACTGTGTGTGGAGCTTGGCTTGTTTAGTTTGGCAAAATGGAGACTGAAAAGGGGATATGATCATTTTACAGGATGGTGTTTATGTTTTGCTGTTGCACCTGGGAAGTTGTGTGTGAGGATTCAAAGTGGTAGTTTTGGGGATTCTTTGTGTAAAAGGTTGCTTGCTAATGTAGAGAGCTGGACATAGTGACCCAGTCCTATCTTCTAAGATTACTTATTTTCTTTAGTAGCTTTTTGGTGAGGGACTGTGTTAGAGACCCTTTGAAAGGTATTGAACTGTCAGAATGTTCTCCTTTATTCACTACTTCATGGACATCTTCAGAGAACTGTACTCAATTAGTGACACGTGATTTACAGAAGCCAGGCTGGCTAATTAATATAATTAATAATTGTTTTAACCAACTTAAAAGATGCAAGGTTTACTAGTTGGTAATTTCTCAGATGATTCCCTGAGCTTTTTTTACTCCTGTTAAAAGTGAATATTTTTGCTACCAGCTCAAATCACTACATACTTACTTTAAATACTTAGTAAGAAACTACCAAATAGTTCAGGCCCCTATTTTAAACTGTACCATAAGTGGTATAGTCCTGTGATGCTTTAATACTGCATATAAACAAAATCTACTCTGGTGCTGAAATTTTAAAGTCATTATATTTGAGGAATCAGCCCAAATTAACATAGCAACAGTTTTGTAATTGCAGTTTACTTAACAACTTGAGTTCATATATAGAAGATCAAATGCCAGAATAAAGTGGGTGCTCTGGTAATCTAAGATCAAGTAATTAAAGTAACTAGTTGGAGAGCAAAATTTCACAGATTTCATAGACATCAGGGCTGGAAGGGACCTCGGACGATCATCGAGTCCAGCCCCCCGCCCAAAGGGCAGGAAGTCAGCTGGGGTCATAGGATCCCAGCAAGATAAGCATCCAGTTTCATCTTGAAGGTGTTCAATGAAGGCGCTTGAACCACCTCCGGTGGCAGGCTGTTCCAGACCTTGGGGGCTCGGACAGTAAAGAAGTTCTTCCTTATGTCCAGCCTGAAACGATCTTGAAGTAGTTTGTGACCATTCGACCTCGTCATCCCTTGGGGCGCTCTGGTGAATAAACGTTCCCCCAGATGCTGGTGGTCACCCCTGATAAACTTGTAGGTGGCCATCAGATCACCCCTGAGCCTGCGCTTTTCCAGGCTAAAGAGCCCCAGGGCTCTCAGCCTGTCATCGTAGGGTCTGCTTCCCTGACCTCTGATCATGCGCGTGGCTCTTCTCTGGACTCTCTCAAGCTTCTCCACATCCTTTTTGAATTGTGGAGCCCAAAACTGGACACAGTACTCCAGCTGCGGCCTCACCAAGGACAAGTACAGGGGGAGAATGACGTCCCGGGATTTGCTTGAGAAGCATCTATGGATGCAAGCCAGCGTTTTGGTCGCTTT